TAATGATCATGATACTGTTCATTTTTTTGTCTTATTACGTTTGGCATTTTTACAAATTTTGAAATCTCTTTTACTAAACCTAGAAAATTGTCCATTGTTTTTTGTACCACATGTAATAATGGATGCATGAAAAGAAATGATTAGGCTTGCTAAATATTAGAACATTGTATTATTCTTTGAGAATTCATCAGTATTTTGTGTTCTTGTTTTCCTCTGGTAAATCAATTGTCTGTTTAATTTGGCGTCTCTTCCCCTCAATTTCCTGTAATCTTGGATATGTGTTTTTTGTGTGTATTCTTTGAGATTAGCAATAAATCTTCCTTTAGTAAAGAATGATGATTGTTTCAAAGGAATTTCATCTGTACTTGGTTCAAATCTGGTATTTGGTGAGAATAATTTTCTTACTAATTTTTCATTGTTTTGATTATGTTTTCATTTACTTGTTACCTTTGGTTAAGTCTGTGTTGTTGTGTGTTCAATCTGGAAGAAGATTGTTATTTTATTGCTCCAGTGTTGGAAATGCATAGTTGTTCTCTGCTCTTGAAGATTTTATCTCTTTTTATTTTTTTGTTTGTGAGTCCACTTTAGCATTCTTACTAACCCATAAAATCGACTTATATCATTTTCAATAATCTAAGGGATTAAAAGTAAATGTAATTAATCAAAGTATAAAAAATGAGAATGTATTTTCATCAAAAAATAAAGAGCTATCTAAAAATAAAAAGAAAAACAGTTGGCCGGGCGCGGTGGCTCATCTGTAATCGACATCTGGAGGGCCGATGCGGATACGAGTCAGGAGATCGAGACCATCCTAGTTAACACGGGAACCCCCGCTTTCTTTACCTAAAAAATACTAAATAAGTAGCTCAGGCGTGGTGATGTAGGTCGCTCCTTTGAGACCAGCTGGCCAACATGGGTGAAACCCCTGTGTGCTTTTACTAAAAAGTACAAAAATCTTACCCAGGTGTTCCGGGGCGCACACTCTGTAATCCCAGTGCTCCTCAGGAGGCTGAGGCAGAATTGCTAGAACCTGGGAGGCAGAGGTTGCAGTGAGCCGAGATCGTGCCACTGCACTCCAGCCTGGGCAACAGAGTGTGACGGTGTCTCAAAAAAAAAAAAAAAAAAAGAAAAAAGAAAAAAACCAGTAATTTGCAGATATAATTTCCAAAAAGTTATAAAAGTAATTATAAAATATACAAAATTTTATTAACATTAAAACATGAATTATAATTAGTAAATATAATACATAAAAGCTAAAAATTTTAACACTATAGTTTTTAAATTAACTACATCTTTTAAATATTTTCATCAAAATAAAACCATTCATAATTCTAATAGTTAACGTCCATGTAGTTGCTAACATGGAGAATTAGCAACTACAGGTGCTTTTTGTTTTTCTCTGTTATCAGTTTTTCTCACACAGGTTCTGTCTAGACCTGTGCTGTGCACTTACAGAAGCTACATCTACATGTGGCTACTGAGTGGCTGCTAGCTAAATGTGGCTGTTCTCAGTGAGACGTACTGTAAGTGTAAAACACATCAAACTTTGAAGATTTAGTATAAAAAAAGAGCAAGACATTTCATAATTTCTTATATTCATTACATGTTGAAATGATATTTTGGATACATTTGGTTAAATAAAATATATTATTAATTTCACTTTTTTTCTTTTTGAGACAAAGTTTCACTCTTGTTGCCCAGGCTGAAGTGCAATGGCGTGATCTCGGCTCACTGCAACCTCTGCCTCCTGGGTTCAAGCGATTCTCCTGCCTCAGTCTTCTGAGTAGCTGGGATTACGGGTGCCCGCCACCACACCCAGCTAATTTTTGTATTTTAAGTAGAGACAGGGGTCACCCTATTGGTCAGGCTGGTCTTGAACTCCTGACCTCAGATGTGATCCACCCTCCTTGGCCTCCCAAAGTGCTGGGATTACAAGCGTGAGCCACTGTGGATGTGGCCACTAGAAAATGTTAAATTACATTTGTGGCTCTCACAGTATTTCTATTGGACGGTGCTGTTCTAGACCTACCCATACACAAACTGAAAAGTAACAGTCCCCACGTGCAACTTCTGCAGACACTATACGAACTCATGAAAATCTTCAGAGTCCAGCGTGCTAACCATTACACCACAGAACCCTCCCTGTGAAAATCTTCAGAACCACACATTCCAACACGTAGACAGGCAAGAAAATGGATACCTGGCACTACAGGGAAATAATACTTTGTGAGGCAAGAATCTACTTCACCAGTTAATTAATTAGTCTTTTTCTCTTACCTAAGTCCTTCTGCTGTTTGAATTTTCCCCACACTCCAAAGCAGTATCCATTTCTGAGGTCAACAGTGGCACTACCCCCAAACTTTGAACTCAGGTGCCTTTTGCTTCCAAGACACAGAGCAAGGGATGTGGAGATTTCCTCGGTGGCTGAATGGTGTTAGTCACAAGAGCAATGATTAGGGTTATGGGTCAAGCTGTGCCAATGTTGAGTGACAAAGGGGTCCTATGTGTTCTGGAATAAGTCAATTGTTTTGTGTGTTTATGATATGAAGGTCCTTAAAGTGCGGGGCCCACGGCAGGAGCCCCTCTTGCTTACGTGGAAAAGCAGCAGGGGCTGCTGGAGAGGTGTTACTGAATTTCTGGAAAGCAATGTGGTGACATCTTTCAAAATGAACGTAAATCATGAATAAGGCAACCCCACTGCTATGACTCTAGCCCACAGACACAAAAGCACACTCAGTCAGGTCGTCAACAGCTGCCAACGTAAGGTCGATCTTTTTTTTTTTTTCTGAGATGGAGTCTCGCCTTGTCACCCCGGCTGGAGTGCAATGGCGGGATCTCGGCTCACTGCAACCTCCGCCTCCCGGGTTCAAGCGATTCTCCTGCCTCAGCCTCCCGAGTAGCTGGGATTACAGGCATGTGCCACCAAGGCTGGCTACTTTTTTGTATCTTTAGTACAGACGGGGTTTCACCATGTTGCCTAGGCTGGTCTTGAAGTCCTGAGCTCAGGCAATCCGCCTGCCTCAGCCTCCCAAAGTGCTGGGATTACAGGTGTAAGCCACCGCGCCCGGCCAAGGCCAATCTTTTAAAACAGAGTCTGAACCTGAGGAACACATCAGAATGACCTGGGAACACTTTTTATAACATACCTGTCTGGCCTTTCCACCTCAGATCTATTTAAACCTGATTCTTCTGGCGGGGTGGCCTAAACATGTATATTTTGAAAAAGCTCCTAGGTGATACAAGGTATACCTCTGGTTAAATATTATTACTCTAAAAAGTATGCAGAGTCAATAGATTAAATTCCATTATAAACTCCCAGGCCATATTCACATTTTACTTTCAAATTTTGCTTTAAATAAGTGGTCTTTTATTTGGGATTTAAAAATCTGTAACAGAAAACTGTAATTCAGAACATGACTAATTTGAATTTCTAAGAGTTGTGCTGATTTCTCTAAACTATGAAAGAGTACTTACGTTTATAAGATACACTAGATCACAGATAACCTGTTTAGTCTATTTAAGATAAACTGATCAAGAAGAATCCAGATAACTGATACATTAATACATGAAATTCTTCTACTAAATCATGTCAGAGGCTGGGCGCGGTGGCTTACGCCTGTAATTCCAGCACTTTAGGAGGCCAAGGCAGGCGGATCACCTGAGGTCAGAAGTTTGAGACCAGCTTGGCCAACATGGCGAAACCCCATCTCTACCAAAAATACAAAGAAAAAAAAAAAAAAATTAGCCGGGTGCGGTGGTGTGCACCTGTAGTCCCAGCTACTCAGGAGGCTGAGGTAGGAGAATCGCTTGAGCCTGGGAGGCAGAGGTTGCAGTGAGCCAAGATCAGGTCACTGTACTCCAGTCTGGGCAACAGAGGGAGACTCAGTCTCAAACAAACAAAAAACATAACATAACAAATGAATTGTAGATAACCAGGTATTTGCCAAACTTTCATATTTTAGTAACTCCCAAATAATGTGAGCCGCAGGTAAGACTGACTGTTGTGGGAAGTCAGGGACCCCGAACGGCGGGATCAGCTGAAGCCATGGCAGAAGAACATCAATTGTGAAGATTTCATGGACATTTATCACTTCCTCAGTCAGTACTCTTATAATTTCCTATGCCTGTCTTTAATCTCTTAATCCCGTCATCTTCGTAAGCTGAGGATGTATGTTGCCTCAGGACCCTGTGACGATTGCATTAACTGCACAAATTGTTTGTAGAGCATGTGTGTTTGAACAATATGAAATCTGGGCACCTTAAGAACAGGATAACAGCGATTTTCAGGGAACAAGGGAGATAACCTTAAAGTCTGGCTGCCTGTGGGCCGGGCAGGACAGAGCCATATTTCTCTTATTACTGAAAACGGGTAAGATAAATATCACTGAATTCTTTCCCCAGTAAGGAATATTAATAATTAACAGCTGTGAAAAGAATGCATTCCGGGGGGGGGGCTCTAAAATGGCCACTCTGGGGGTGTCTGCCTTATGCAGTTGCAGATAAGAGATGAAACATGCCTTGGCCTCCTGCAGCACCCCCAGGCTTGCTAAGATTAGGAAATTCCTGCCTGGCGAATTCTAGTCAGACCAGTTCTCTGCTCTTGAACCCTGTTAAGATGTTTATCAATGACAATGCATGCACAGCAGGACACGGAAGTTCATCAGTAATTCTAGTTTTGCCCTGACCTTGTGATCTTGCCCTGACCTTCTGCCTTGTGATCTTTTGTTGCCCTTGAAGCATGTGATCTCTGTGACCCACACCCTATTTGTACACTCCCTCCCCTTTGAAAATTGCTAATAAAAACTTGCTCAGGTTTTATGGTTTTATGGCTCAGGGGGCATCACGGAACCTGCTGACATGTGATGTCTCCCCCAGACACCCAGCTTTAAAATTTCTCTCTTTTGTACTCTTTCCCTTTATTTCTCAGACCGGCCGACACTTAGGCAAATAGAAAAGAAACTACGTTGAATTATTGGGGGTGGGTTCCCCTGATAACTTACTTTTCACAATCTGTTTTCTGAGCACCTTTTTCGTGCTTCTCTTTTTCCAGGCGCTTTTTGTTTTTCTCTGTTACCAGTTTTTCTCCAGGAATCTCTGGAACCCCCATAGCTGCTGCAAACTGTGCTGCACCTTGGTCAGTGAGAAAGCAATGAGGTGTCTGAGGCCAGAAAGAAAAGAGAAAATGATTGTTTTTTTGAAAATTTTAAATCTTTTTAACTGTTCCAACTGTGTTGAAATAATTACTTCTCTTTGCGTGCAAAGGATCCAAAATACAAATTCCAGTGGTTTGCTTTTCTGTATGCTGAAAAAAGCCTGACTGAGTTTTTGCATTAAAAAAGAAAAGACCCCAATTGATGGAACATTACTAGAGATGCGATTTACATATTACGTTAAATTTAGAGAACTCAATCCATCTTTAACACATGCTATTAAATAGCTGGTCTGGTCAGTTTGTATGTGGTATGAAGACAATACAGGAAGATAAAGTAATCACTCACAGGTCAAGTGATTCTTAGTCAACAATCTTGGCTGATGTGAGAAACTCAAATACACTGCTTCTGTTTTGTATATATATTTTAGGAGAACAGTGATCTCAAGTATTTCCACACAGTTGGAGCCCTTATCACTGAAGTATAGTGATAACAATTCATAAGAAAAGGCTGCTTTAGTCACATATACCTTTTCCATGACAAGCCGAGCAAGTTTAATGGGATTTGCTATACACCGGACTGCGGACACTGCTCCTACTGACAGGTCTTTTCCATCCATGATACTAGCATCCATTTCAACCTCACCATCTGTGTTCAAGACAGACCCATAACCTAAAACCAAAAAGAAGTTGAAAAGCAAGAATTAAGAATTTAGAAATGGCTCCAGATTTTCCTCTACTTTGCCCCCTTTAATCCATCCTCTATTCCATTGCCAGAGGAACATTTTTTTTTAAGAGAGAAATCTTGGCTGGGCACCGTGGCTCACGCCTGTAATCTCAGCACTTTGGGAGGCCGAGGTGGGCAGATCACGAGGTCAGGAGATTGAGACCATCCTGGCTAACACGTGAAAGCCCGTCTCTACTGAAAATCCAAAAAATTAGCTGGGCATGGTGGCCCGCACCTGTAGTCACAGCTATTTGGGAGGCTGAGGCAGGAGAATGGCTTGAACTTGGGAGGTAGAGGTTGCAGTGAGCCGAGATCACGGCACTGCACTCCAATAGAGCAATGGAGCAAGACTTTGTCTCAAAAAAAAAAAAGAGAGAGAAATCTTGACTTGGAGGCTGGATGTGGTGACTCACGCCTGTAATCCCAGCACTCTGGGAGAAGGAGGTAGGTGGATTACTTGAGGTCAGGAGTTTGAAACCAGCTTGGCCAACATGGTGAAACCCTGTCTCTACTAAAAATATAAAAACTAGCCAGGCATGGTGGTGCGTGCCTGTAATCCTAGCTACTTGGGAGGCTGAGGCAGGAGAATGACTTGAACCCGGGAAGTGGAGGTTGCCACGAGCCAAGGGTGACGAGTGAGACTCCGTTTCAAAAAAAAAAAAGAGAAATCTGACTTGGCACTCCATGACCTACAAAATAAAAAGTACAAAGCCCTTCCTAACCTAGCCTTTGACCTGCTTTTCCAGCTTCATTTTCTCTCCTTGGCTATATTTTACTGAAATACTAGCTTTCCCTGAATACAGTAGTCCCCTTATCTATAGCCTTGCTTTCTGGGGTTTTAGCTATCCTCGGTCAACCATGGCCCCAAATTATTAAATGGAAAATTCCAGAAATAAACACTTCTTGCACCATCATACTCTATCCTTCAGAGGGATGTGATTCCTCCCCTTGTCCAGCATATCCACACTGTATAGGTTGCCTGCCTGTTAGTCACTTAGCAGTTGTCTTGAATATCAAGCAGATCAACTGCAGTAGCACCTGTCAGTGCTTGTGTTCAAGAAACCCTTATTTTACTTAATAATGATCTCAAAGCACAAGAGTAGTGATGCTGGTATACTGTTACAATTGTTCTATGTTATTATCAGTTGTTATTAATCTCTTACTGTGGCTAATTAATGTATATATGAAAAGAAAAAAATCAAACCAGTTGCTAAAAGGTTGAGTATTACTGGTGGTTTCAGGCACCCACTGGGGGTTCGAAACACATCCCCCAGAGACAAGGGAGGGCTACTATATGCCAGGAGCCTGTGTGTCTCTGTGCCTTTGCACATGCTGTTGTTTTTACCACTAGCACCCTTTCTCCATACTTCTTTGCCCAGATAATGCCTACCAATCCAGCTATGCTTCTCGATCTCTTTGTGCTTGTTTCCTCATGAGTAAAATGAGTAAGAATATCAACTCGTTTAATCCTTACAACCATCAATGAGGTAGGTATTGCATATTAAACACTTGGAATAATGTCTAGCATGTGGAGGTAAACAGTAAGTGTTTGCTGCCCTGATTACATGCCAATTTCACAGGTGGGGAAACCAAAAAGGCAACTTTCCAATATCAAATGTCTTCTGGGTAAAGAGCAAGGAATCAAATCCAGGTGTGTGGCTTAGACATCTACTTTCTTCTGCCAAAAAAGCTCACTCCTTTTCCATCTGGCAATGACAAGGCAGCATCCCCTTACACTGATCTGCACAGGTTAGAGAAGACCTGATAAAAGATTTAAATAAATAAGATCCAAAGTCTTAAAACATAATATGCAAAATGTCTAGAATCCAAGAGAAAATCACTCATCATACAAAGAACCAAGAACAGCTCAACCTAAGGAAAAACAATTAACAGATGACAATACCAAGATGACACAGATGTTGGAATTACCTGACAGGAATTTATTTTTTTAATTTATTTATTTATTTTTTTTTGAGACGGAGTCTCGCGCTGTGTCACCCAGGCTGGAGTGCAGTGGCGCGATCTTGGCTCACTGCAAGCTCCGCCTCCCAGGTTCACGCCATTCTCCTGCCTCAGCCTCC